GTGTGTGCGTGAAATTATAAGGTCTGTCATTCAGTCAAGTGGCTTTGTTTTGATTCCCTGCTTGTACGTGACAAGGAGTTGGATCACCTGTCCAACCTCTTGGGTTTTCCTTGCACTGCTAAAGACCCCTACATGTATGTTAGTCCCAAAATGACCTAGTTTGTGTCGAATGAACATTAAACCCTATTTCTCTCTCTCCTCTAACATGGGTTATCTTATTTTTTAAGGATTTTATGATCTACATGTAGTTTGTGTCAAGTGAACATTAAACCCTATTTCTCTCTCTCCCCTAACATAGGTTATCTTATTTTTTAAGGATTTTATGATCTACATGTACATGTAGTTTGTGTCGAGTGAACATTAAACCCTATTTCTCTCTCTCCCCTAACATGGGTTGTCTTATTTTTTTAAGGATTTTGAAACCCAGCATACATTGTAGAATATATAGCTAAATGCAATAGCTAAAATCAAATTGCAATTGCCAAGAGTTGTTTAACAGCCAAGCGAATGTGTACACTGAACCTTGTTGGGTTTTTTTTGTCCCATCCAAACAACTAGAAAGCTGTCCTTGTAAATGACAGATAAATCTTAGAAAGAAATATAAGCCCTAGAAATGGTTCAGTTGAAAAATTTGCAACATTGGGCACCCTCTTTAGAAGCTGGAAATAAACCAGTGCTGTTCGGAAGAAATCTTTTTATGTTTGCATTTAGTCAAATAGCAGTTTGTGGGATCATTGACTGTCATAGTTTCATATGAGTTTTCTGTGTTTGCACTTAGGAAATTTGATAAAGAACAAATACTGTGCACGGCATAATCCTTGATGCACAATTACAGAGTGAATCACAACAGCTGAGCTAGGGTCTACTAACAATATTACTACACTACTAGTCTCTGTGAAATGAAATGAAATTTTGTTTAACGGTATGTAAGCACCTACCGGACTATATCTTATATATTGTGAATGTTTTTTTTTTAATTGCAACATATCTATATTTCAAAATTTTAAAGGGGTTTGGATATCCGAATAGTAAACACGTGCGCCTTGTATCATAAGACATATCATTGAGTCAAGTGGCGTGGTTTGGGTTCCCTGGTTGTACGTGACAAGGAGTAGGGTCGTCTGTCCAACCTCGTGGGTTTTCTCCGGGTCCTCCGATTTCCTCCCATTGCTAAAGACCCATATGCGCAAGCGAATTATTGAAATAAAATTAAACCATATGTTAGTCCCGAAGTGACCTAGTTTGTGTCGAGTGTAGTACAGACTCCTACACGCAAGTGAATTATTGAAATAAAATTGAACCATATGTTAGTCCCGAAATGACCTGTCGAGTGGGCGTTAAACCCCATTTCTCTCTCTCTCTCTAAAAATTTTAAAATATTATCACACATCAGTTAATATGTAAAATCATATCACAGATCACCATCAAAATATCACAGTAAATCAAATTACAATAAATGTGATTAAAAAGTAATTATAACAATTAAAATTTATAATAAAAATCTGTTTGGTTTAAAATCTCTAGTAGTTGTAGTTTTCCATATAAACCCAGTTGGGCAAATACAAAATGTAGATTGTGGAAAGACTGACAACGATGGTATCTTTTTGTTATATCCTTGAGATACTTGAACTCTATTAAAAAGGGGGTCACGTTGGCTGAGTGGGTAGACGCTGGCTCAATAGCCTGGAGGTCGGGTGTTCAATCTCTGCATTGGCCGAGAAAGTTCATTCAGATTTTCCGGCATGGTTCTCCCTTGTCAGTGATGCAGGACGGAGGGCCTGACAAGGACAGCTGTCTAGTCGTTCGGATGGGAGGAAAAACCAAGGTCCCATGTACACATTGACATGCACGTAAAAGATCCCTTGACAGATGGAATTCGATGTAAGAGTAGGCCGTAGTGCTGCTAACCGGGCAAAATTTCCCTCATAGCACACTGTAAGGGGTACATGTACATGTAAATGTATGTCCGTCTTCATTAGCCCATTCGGAGCAGAACAGTTGGATGTTAAACCCCATTTCATCTTTCATCGATCAAAATGTGCTTACATGTAACTGTCAACTTGACAGTTCTCACATTCTGGTTGAGGCTCTCGCTTTAAATTTAAAATGAAAATATGAGTCAAAATACTATGACCTAGATGTGAGAGTGACACAAAACAACTTCATCCCTCCTTTTGGATCTATAGGAGTTTGGCCAGTCTGCTAATTAGTGAGGCTTAATATGGTGAAGTTTATTTGTGTCTGCAAGATCCCAAGGCCCCTGTCAATGCTTGTATATATGAATGATTTATTGAGGATTTAATAAAATCTATAAATGGTAAAGAAATTGTGATATATAGGAAGATCTAAATAAGACGATTAAACTTGTATGACAGTAGCAGACCATAAATGTCCGCTATTAACGGGTAAACAACCTGTTTGTTGTTAATTGTCTTTAATTTCTAAAGAGAATAAAGAATCAGTAAATATAGCATGTTTTAATACAGATGAGGAGGATTGAATGAACTCCAATGCCTGAAATGGCTTGGAGCTCAGAAGTAAATATGGAAGCAGCTGGTGGACATCAAACAGAGATGATTCCAGAGGGCTTGATGGTAGCCCAAATATATTTGTATAATCGCCATATTCAGATCATAATTCTCGAAAGAGAGACTGAAACACCCTGGAACTATGTTTTTTGTAAGATCTGAGAGAGAAGGAGAGAAATGGGGTTTAACGTCCACTCGACACAAACTAGGTCATTTCGGGACTAACATATGGTTCAATTTTTATTTCCATAATTCGCTTGCCACCCAACCCCCCTTTGTAAGATCTAAACCAATCTTTGCTGGAGATATAGGGGGGTGGGGGTTGGATGGCCGGAAGGTTGGCATATGTACGCTGTATCATACAGTCTGTCATTGAGTTTCCATTTCCCGGTTGTACATGTACGTGACAAGGAGTAGGGTCGCCTGTCCAACCTCGATGTGTTTTCTCCGGGTCCTCCGGTTTCCTCCGACTGCTAAAGACCCCTATGCTCAAGCGAATAATAGAAATAAAATTGAACCATATGTTAGTCCCAAAATGATTTAGTTTGTGTTGAGTAGACGTAAAACCTCATTTCTCTCTCTCTCTTTGCTGGAGATATAGCCCAGGGTGGAGTTCTAAAGAAAGGAATATTGTCTCTCTGTGAAACTGTATCAAAGAAGTGATATTATTTCTATTTGGATATCTATATTTGCAACTGTTATTTGAGTGTCTGTCCTGGGTTGTTAGCTACACTAGGGCTGTCCTGAGACTCAAGTAGGATGCTTTGTTTTCAAGCAGCTCCAGTCCTGGGAGTGTCATACATGTAGGGCTGGTATTGCTTCTGGTTTCTGAGTTATACTACTTATGGTTTCACAAGACACACATGCAAGGTCTTGTCACTGGTTTCACAAGACATGCAAGGAAGTGTCACAAGGATATGTTGCTTGTTTCAAAAGACACATATGCAAGGTCTTGTCACTGGTTTCACAAGACACATACTGTATATAAAGAAGTGTCGCAGGTCTCTACCTGTGCAACACCAGACTTAAGTTAAGTGCAAGAGGACTTCACCACATACAAAGAATTACACAAGACAAATCTATGGACAAGACGTGTACATGTATATACACAGACACCACAAACAATAAACGTACATATCTGATCTAGTCAATGGATCCCGGGGCTAGATGTTTATGAGAAATATCTTTGATCTAGAATCACAAAATTTAGTTTCTTATTGATACATGTATTGTATACATTAAAACAATTAAAGTTTTATAAAGGGCTATATTTTAGTTAAAATTAGACGGACAATTTTGAGTGAATTCTTAACTTAAGTTTAAGGATGCTTTGTGAACTCAGGGCCTCGTGATAAACAACTAGTTTGAAATATATTGATGCTAAAAATACCCCACAACACAAATTATATGGAATACAATCACTGGTTTATACACATATAGCACAACGTTTCGACGAGTATTCTCTTATCGTTATCAGGTATTTGTATTTATTAAAGCCATTATAGACATACATGTACATGATAACTTGGCACCGATAATGGATTATCTAGAGATAAGTTAATAATGATCTGTTAAAACAAAGACTATGGACAATAATAGGTTACTATGGTTACTACATCTATCAATGTTTAATATGATCATTGCCCCAAATACTTGTCTTGTTAAAGTTTAGTCAATAGTACAATATACACATTAAACATACCATGCTTCTTAAAGTGGCATAATGTCGTCGCCCCTGTCCATCTTTCCACAATTTTTTGTGAGCACTCTACCGGTCACAATTTTTATTTGATTTTCACAAAACTTGACATATATAGGTTTATCTCCAAACGATCTCAGTTCCTTTTGATATTGGCATGTCTCAGAACTTAACTTCATGGATTGTGGCCCCTGCAGATTGTACGCAAAACATGTTTTTAGCTTGTGGACAATTTAGAGGTCACAATTTTGATCTGATTTTGATGAAACTTTGAATTTATGTTTATATTACAACGATAATCGTGCGTATCACAACGTAACTCTTGTCTGTTGTCTTCCATGCAATATGAAGAGTCCAGGGGAAGAACGATCTAAGTCACATTTTTGTCTTTTTGCATAAAAGTCAAAACAGACTTTTGGACGAGAATGCTTGATGCGAACAGAACAATGAGTGGGTTTAATTACAACTTCAAAATGATGTTTAATGCAAATCATAAAATTATACCAGTACAACAACTGACTTCCACTTTTCAGCCAAATTAAGGTCAAATAAAGGGTATAATGTACGTATTTGTCTGGGAGGCCATTTCAGAAGGGCCTTGGTTCAATGTGACTCCAATCGTTTTTACCTGAAATAATATGTTCAACACAAAACTTAAAAAATTTGCTACCAGATGGCGCCATTAACTGGGGTTCGTTGAAAAAGTGACTTAGATCGTTCTTTCCCGGCGGGGCTCTTCATATTTTGATTGTGTTTTTGTATGTTTATTTCAGATTGTCTGTTTAAGATATGTCCGTTGTCCAGATATTCTGCCCAGAAACAATATTGGCAAGCAGCCAGACAATCTGGTACGGATCCAATTTTACTTGACAGATTGCACGTAAGTTAAAAATAGATCTCTTAATTCTCATGGTGTGTTTGTGGGTGTACGAGGCAGAGATAAATGAGGTTTAACGTCCACATCATGAAAAAAGTAAAATGAAAACATGTGCCATTTATTCCGCCAAGGTCGTTTGCCTCATTCTGATAATCTACTACTATTGAACCAATCAGTGAGTGGGAATATACTTGACCTAGGTCGTTATGAATAAATTTCATTGTGGGAAGTCAAAACACGGTCTAAACTCGTATGCCGTAAACTAGCACAGGGAATGAATGAATATTTTTTTTATTTAGACTACAGTTTTTGTTGCACTGCATTAATAATTTTATTAGTTACTATCACTAAATAATATGCATAATGTTGACATTAATTATGCTCAGAGCTGCGTACGTGATCAATTGCATTGGGGAAAATTTCAAAGTGATCAGATGTAAAAATGGCTAAAACTAGAGCATACGGAATGTCAGAATATATGTTTAACGAATAGTAAATGGATAGTAAAATGATTTGAATAACCCTTATTTTGTATCCGTTAACGAATAGTAGTTTCAACACTACACAACTCACAAACAAACGTACAATTCAAATAAAGTGAATGGATCCGGGGGCTAGCCGTAAGCGTCCACTGCTACATTTTATTTCATTAGGATTGATCTTTAGCAGTGTGAGGTAACCCAGGGAACTGAAGAAAACCCAAGGGATTCGGCAGGGAATTGGAGAAAACCCAAGAGGTTTGACAGGAAACCCTACTCCTTGTTGCATACAAGTTTGGAAATGAAATGAAATGAAATGAAATGGGGTTTAACGTCCTACTATTCTGCTCCTATACTTGGCTAATGAAGACGGGCATACACCATACAGTGTGCTATGAGGGAAATTTTGCCCGGGCAGCGGCACTATCGCCTACTCTTATATCGAATTCCAACTGCCAAGAGATCTTTTACGTGCATTCTAATGTATACACGGGACCTCGATTTTTCGTCTCATCCGAAGGACTAGACAGCTGTCCTTGTCAGGCCCTCCGTTCTGCACCACTGACAAGGGGAAACAACGTCGGAAAATCCAGATGAACTTTCTCAGCCAATGCAGGGATCGAACATCCGAACTCCAGACTAGCGGGCCAGCATCTTACTCACTTAGCCACCGTGGCTCCCATACAAGTTCGGGACAATCTGATTAAAACACAGATCCTACTTCATTCCGTTTTTTATAATTCAAAATTTCGTTTTACTTGTCTTCGGAACACTAGGATCTGGAAGAGTTGTTAAATGTATATAATAGGCGTTCTGCTAGTTGATGTGATGAATTAGTCGATGAAACGGTCTGTTACGCCGACCATCGAAAGTTTGAAAAAAAAAACCGAAACAAAATATAGATCAGTATTTTAATCGGATTGAGTTCGGGATAGAAATTATGCCACTTGACGCTATACAGATCGTCTGATCTACAGCTTTAGACCACTTGACAAGCCCCACCCACACCCTTGACCTTGACCTTGTTCTCTGTGTTTGTGTATTGGTACAGGTGAATGATCCAGTCAACAACTTTACAAAATATGAATTTAGTAGCTTTTTCAATGTCAACAGTGAAAAAGAAAAAGAACTGTAGTATTACAAACAGATTGGTGGGGGGTTGGAGACTACTGAATAGAACTGATTCGCTTCAGTCTCAAGTTAAGGAGATACAATAGCAGGGATGTTCTGACTTGTGACTAAAACAATTTCTCTTCAGTCTCGAGTTAAGAGGGTTAAGTCTAGATGAATACATGTACATTTCAAATCCCAAATTACAGAGAGAGAGATGAATTTAGACTTAAATCTTAGACCCATTATTCCTTTGTTTCATTTAATTAATGACCCGTTTGACCTAGACTGATTTTCTTAAGTATTCCATCACCAAGTGAAAGAATCTACGACAATTGATTTTAGAGAATCAAAGGGAAAAAAAAAAAAAAATTATAGTTTCCTTTTGTCATTTATCAATATTGATTAAGAAAAATTTCTTATTGATAGAAAAAAATTGATAAGATTTTGTGTCATTCATTTGAAGAGCTTTAGCATGTTTTTATTTCCCTATACATGTGAATATTGATTTAAACTTATCCCTGATTTGAGACGAGTTCTGATTGATTTTTGGTTTTTATATGGACCGCGATGTTTGTTATACTAAAAATGGCCTAAAAGTTAAAATAAATAATGTAACCCAATTTAATTTCCAGCTCTTTGGTGTCTTGATAAATGGAAGATGTTTAATTTAAAATTTCAAAACATAAACATTTGAAACTAAAAACTTTTCCTCGGTTGTATGTGACAAGGAGTAGGGTCGCCTGTCCAACCTCGTTGTATGTGACAAGGAGTAGGGTCGCCTGTCCAACCTCGTGGGTTTTCTCCGGGTCCTCCGATTTCCTCCCACTGCTAAAGACCCCTACGCGCAAGAGAATTATTGAAATAAAATTAAACCATATGTTAGTCCCGAAATGACCTAGTTTGTGTCGAGTGGATGTTAAACCCCATTTCTCTCTCTCTCTCTCTCTCTCTAAAAACTTTTGAACAATGCAACCGAGTACTTTTGGTTTTTAAATTAGTCAAAATAAAATAAGAAAAACAAGCAAACATAAAAATAAAATGAAATGAAATGGGGTTTAACGTCCTACTGTTCTGCTCCGAACTGGGATAATGAAAACGGACATATGCCATACAGTGTGCTATGAGGCAAATTTTGTAATTAGCCTGTTTTATTGCTTTGTAATAATGAAATGAAATGGGGTTTAACGTCCTACTGTTCTGCTTGGACTAGGCTAATGAAGACGGGCATATGCCATACAGTGTGCTATGAGGGAAATTTTGACCGTACAGCGGCAATAAGGCCTACACTAATAGCAAATTACAACTGCCAACAGATTTTTTATGTGCACTAACCCTACACAGTACCTCACTTTTTTGTCCCATCCAAACGACTATACTATATAAGTTGTCCCTTGCATTGACCTCTGTAAGTTAAAATGTGGATGAGATGTTAGAGCTTTTCTCCATTCCATTTCATTTAATGGTAATTGCTAAGTTACATGTACATGTATTGGTGTGGCGAACCATGTAAAAGTAATTGATCTCTGAGGGAGGTTCATTTACTGGTACTCCCATGTATAGATATCCTGGTTTCAATTTGCTAATGTGGCTCAGTGGTTAATGTACCTGCTCACTGATAGGTTTCCACTTGTTTAATGAAGCTGGACCGAGGACGTGTCCCGCACTTCGACCTCTAGCTGGCTGGTCACCTCTGGCTTGCGGTTGTGGTTTCGATCCCTGGTGAGAGCGTATGTGGCTTTGAGATTGCGGCGCCTTCTCAACCTCGTGGGTTTAATCTTGGTAATCCGGTTTCCTCCCACAGGAAAGAGCCCTGCGCGTGCGCTGAGATAATAAAAATAAAAAAAAAGACTAGTCTGCGATATCACCTTCGATGTAAGCGGACGTTAAACACTAAGAAAAAGGAGACATATTGTCTGCAATATCACCTCGGTGGAAGCGGACGTTAAATAAAGCTATTTCACACACACATATATATTATGTTATCATTTGCTTGATAAAGATGAGAGTTTCATTGTCAAATAAACCAGTTATTCCATAAATAGTGTGTAGTGTGACAAGAAATAGTATCTATAGTTATTCTCATGGGATGACAAAACAGGGTCCTGTGTACTGATTGGTGTGCACCTGTGACTGTTGGAATTCCACGAAAAGTTAGCAGAAACGGTGGTTGTGCTCATGCACTATATAACCCTGTTATAATTTAAAGATACATTATGGGAGATTAAATAAAGAGCTGGCAGTTCTCACTATAATAGTTCAAAACTAGATAATGTAAAGGGAATTTGCTGAAAATTTCAGTCAAATTGATCCACTCTGAACCAAGATTTTAGCGATTGAATTTTTGGCCTAGCCTCGATCATCATTACTAAAGTCAGTAGGATATAAAACATAGTCTTGGTTATCCATATAATAATTCAATTATGAATGGAAGTCGGAACAGGAAATCGGAACCTAATCCAATAAACATTGCAGACTAGCGTTGCCATCGAGAGTTAATTATGATCTGGATAAGTTAATTAATGTCTAATTAATAATTAAGATAACATTTCAGGCCTAAAGAAAGACCTGCAATAGGCAGATTTCGTTCTTGCATAATGTATGTTTAATGTTGTGTATTTAGCACTAATCTCTTTCACATCCACTCAATATCCAATCTTGTTTGAAATATCATAGAAATTTATTAACTTTGTTATAAAACATTCAACACTTTTCATTTCATTTTCCTAATATACTGATAATAGTCAGTTCATGATAATCGTTTCTCTGCAAGAAAAAACCTAAATAGACTGTTACACCTTAGGACTTTTTACTGCACCCATAAATTGTTTATCATAGAGTTGTTTTCGCGATTTTCTGCTCATTGAAAGAAAGACAAAATTAAGATGGGTGCCAAATCATATTGATGGCACCACAGAATCCTTGGTTCATTTAGTCAAACATGCAAGTTAAGTACACATGCAGGAATAACATCTGTTGAAATTGAGCTTATTAATATTTTGTTTAAATGTCGAATGATGCATGTCGAGGTAAAATATATGTGAGGCCTCACCAATTGGATTTTAGGTTTTTTGGGAATGTTATGATTTTGCTTCTTTTTTTGTTCGGAAAATGACTAATTTAAAAACTAAAAATACTGGGCTGCACTGTTCAAAAGCTTCTAGTTCCATGTTTAACACGTGCACTCGCCATCGCACATTTGATAATTAGTGATGTTGTTCGTAGGGTTTGGGAGGGTTGGATGGCCGAATGGTTAGCATGTGCACCAGGGATAGAACTTTATTTGAAAACACACAAGCAAAATTTTGCTTGTTGATTTCAAATGTACAAGCAAAACTAAGATTCTAAAGAAATTCAAGGGGCAATTTTTTCTTTAATGAAAATACTTTTATTATCTTTGGATTACATGTACAA